GGGTCCCCCCCCCCCCCCCCCCCCCCCCGCACAATTTAATATAAATAAACATATTTATATATTTTTTTACTTGCAATTTGTTGACCACCCAATGTTACTAAAGACTTTCAGATGGGTGTTGAGCATCAAAGTGCTTGTTTGTCACCAAAGTGTGTGTATATCTCCTTTCCCTTTAAGACCTCGGTCCCAGTGGATGTGATGCCTGGCCAGTATGACCCCACCAACTACACACTGCCTCAGCAGCCTCTGCATCGCTGTATGTTTCCCTTGTCCTCTGTCTACCCCACACTGCAGCTGGCATCTAACCCCTACCAGGCCACTGTAGACGGAGTGAAGTGAGGAACAACACACACGCACACACTTTCATTTTGGAAAAGCAAATGCCTCGTGTTAGCTCTATGCAAGATGGCGGAAGAAAACACTGGAGTCCAGCTACAGTACAGGAATATCTGTCCCGGGGAACCAATTGTGGCCCACAACTTCTGGCAAAAAAAATTAACCATTTGTGGTCCATCATTTTTGACCACAGTACAAAATTTACTTGGACCAAAAATGCTATTCTATATTTCACCTGAAGATGGCAGTAGACCAGTAGCCACACTCGAGTATGTGTGGAAATAGACTTTGAGCGCGCTCTGCCTCTCAGAACACCTCACTCCCGCAGTTGTGTTAGGCGTCAAAGTGAATTTCCAGACGCACCCCGGACTGCATGACCCATGTGTGGTCCTTTCTAGCCTATTTCTAAAATAAAAACTGCCGCAAAGAAAAGGAAAGTTGAAGAGAAGGCCATCGTTTCCAAGAGCAAGTGGAAATTGGGACAGTTTTTTTCAGTGAAATACGAAATAATTGTCTTGGCCTGATTTGTGAAGAGCCTGTGGCTGCTTGGAAAAAAATTATATCAAAACATGCAATCTACAACAAGATGACTGGCAACAAACACCGTGAACAAATAAAGCAACTGGATCCTGAATGGTTGGTCGGCCTCCACACATTTTTACTTCACCAAATCTGTCCCTCTTTGCAAAAAGTTTGGGTACCCCTGACGAATGTGAACAAATACTATTTACGTTGTAAAAATATTCAAAAATGTAAAAGTCAAATCCAATGATCTTAAATGAAATTTATTTTAATATGACACTTTAACCCCTTGTCTAATGGTGTTTGTTTGAGTGCCGCCAAAATCTGCTGATCTTGGCAAGTTGCGTGGTCTTCTTCATGAGTTTATTGAACTCAATCTGAACTCTTAAGTCATGCCCAAGAAAGTAAGCCAGATGGTCCATCTCAGTGTCCGTCATGTTCAGCACAGTCTGCTTACGGTACTTAGATGCAGCCTGGTAGATGTCAGTGTCATTAGGAGACTTTGGCTCATCGAGTTGTTTTGCACACAGTGTTTTTGGGGTCAGAGGAATGGGAACTGGCTCACCACGTTTCCCCTGATTTGGGTTCCTTGAATGTCTGCATGGTTTTTCCTCTACTCCCAAGAGCACCCAGTCTCCATTCCATAATGGACCAGTCGCGTCTCTTCCTAAAAATGCAAACAATAAAGGCTAATCAGCCATTCAAGGAACCGCACATATTATTGTCTGTCATAGTAGTGTTATGAAAACCTGATGTGTTCGAGTAAAAACAAAGGAACATTCTGAATTGGTGCAAAATATTAATACATCTAGAAAAGTTTACTTGCATCTTTGATGAAAAAAACTGTTATTAATAATAATAATAAATACAGGTGCTGCCCTTGCCCATTAGTTGGCATACCTGGCCCACGGCCAATGAAAAGCATCTTCAAAATGCTCCAGGTGTTGCTTTATCACTACTGGTAAACCACATTTAGAAGGCCCGCATGTGTGGGTGTCATGATCTAATGTTTTAATATAAATTACTGGAGCTTTCCTTGTGGGACTTTCCCTCTTGTCCCTATTCTGCAAGAGGTCCCTATGATTTGTCTGAAAGCAGTGTTTTTCTTCTATCCAGGTTCCTGGGCACCTCAGGTCAGAATGTCAGTGACATCGTGCGCTACAGCAGCATGAACAGCCATCTGGAGATTCTGGAAGAAACACTGCGATTGCGCCACCTCGCTCCGACAGCTCCAGATACCCTTGGTGTGACAGGCTCTTTGCAGTTAGTCGAATCATCTAGATGACCACTTTCTAATCACTCCACGCAATATCTGTGGATTTTCTGTTAGGTTGTTACCCGTTTTACATGAAAGATCCGTTCATCTTGGAAGAGTGCCCACATGTGTACTTCAGCGGGAACGCTCCAACATTTGAGTCAAAGCGCCTTACAGGTTTGTGTGTGTACAGGTACTCATTGGCTTAACAAGGGGAATTTACCTAGCTTTTATAGTAGGGCTGAACGATATGGACAAAATTTCACATCTTGATATTCATGCCAGATATTACTATGCGTTTTGTGAAAACTCAGCATTTTCTTCTTAAAGAAAAAGCTAAATATCAATCAAAAGGATGTGCTAAGTGCAGCTTTTTAATGACAACTTACTGACAGTCATCGACATAAAGTCAGCAATAAATCAAAGAAGGACATTGAGTTACAATTGGTCACAGAACAAAACTGAACGTGTAAGTCAAGGTATCACTGTAATAACGATCATTTTTATTTAAGCTTTGCATTGCTTTCGAAATTCAGTATGTGAATCAGTCGTGCTTTCACTTCACCAGGTGCTGATGGCCAAGAAATCCTTTTGGTGACTGTGCCAACATTCCACAGCACCCAAACTGCATGTCTTGTCAACCTGCGCACTCTTGAATGCGAGCCAATCAGTTTCACTGCCTTTTCTGCGGGTGATGACGATGAGAGTGAGATGAACATCAGCCACTGAGAGGAGTGCTCTCGATTAACCTCATATGTATTGAGCGTGACAGTATTGTAAGGTTTGCCTAAATTATAGCTGCATTTTTTTTTCCACCTGAGATGTACCAGCCATCTTTAACCTTCAGTTACAAACCATAAAATGTATTTTTTGTTGTTGTTTTTTTATGGAGGACAACACTGTAAATAATTACATCTTGAATTAAAAAAAAGTTTTTAATGTGCATCTGTAATAAAAAAATTATTGTATAAAAACACTGGATATTGTGTCAGAAAGATGCAGCACAAACACAGAAAAGATGATTAATTGTCAATGACGAATCATTGCCAGGTGTGATACAATATACAGTTCTTGAAGATTGAAAGTTGCATACATGAACTTTGTTTACTTGAAAGCCCTGCTTCCACCAAGCAGTTCAGTTTGTGTCACTTCTGTTCAGTTGCATTTCCTCTGTAAATATTTGTGAAGGGTACCAAAAATAAATTATCCATACCACGTGGTGTGCTACAGTATGGTAGTGTTTGGGAGCCACGACATTATGTTGAATTGGCACTTCTACATGTGAAATCCAAAAGCATTTTTTTTCTAGTCTACGATTATAGTTGTTGCCACACTGACGTGTTACTGTGATGTCAAACTATGGACGTCACAGACATATTTCCAGCATTTCGTTCACTGATATTCAAGCACAACATACTAAATTGAACTGTACAGCTTGATTGAGGGAAACATTTCTGGATTGTTGAACTGTAGTTCGGAGAACTTAACAGCTATCAGCGCAGTGAGGTTGCTTTAATAGTCATCAATCTTGTACTCGTAATTGAAGTCCAGCAATGAGTCTGTGAAGTCACCGGGCGTTGATGATTGTCCCTCCGCGATTTGCCATGAGTCATACCAGGGCGTGGTGGTCCCTGGCGTGGTGGCAACTGGGGTAGTTGTTGGTGGCAGGGTAGTGATTGTCGTCGTTGATTTCAACCGCAATAACCTTTGCTGACGGAGACGGCGAATACGAGCGATTTTGAGTCTCCTCAAGTGTTCCTTGCTTTGTTGTACGTTTGGTGAGGTTCCACCGTTCGCATTAACCACACGGCCATTGCTGTTGACAACCGGGGGCTGCACTATCGTGTTGCCATGGCTGACCAAGCGAATTGGCTTGTTGCCATGGAGAGCCAAAATCTGCGGGCAAATGACAGAATAGATTTGTCTCTTCGTTCGATGCCAAAATACCACTGTCGCATGCTAACATGATGTTCTCACCGCTTTAATGCGGTCCCAGTTGGACTTGACTAAGTTGAAGCTGCACGTGGTCGCTCCTGCCTGGTAACCCACCACACAAAGTTTGGTCACGGAGGCGAAGCCATCGGCTTTGGCCGTTACTCGGTACTCGCCAGGGTTTAGCAGCCGCCAGTAGTCTCCGGTTGAAGCTACAGTGAGACAAAAGGGAACAAATGTTTGCTTTAAGTACAAATTCGGCCATCACATGTGATTCGTGCACTTGATCAGACTTGTGGTGATGTCGTGGTTTATCCCCTCGACAGACACGGTGGCGTTTCCAAGCGGGTTGCCCTGCTCATCCTTCACGATGCCTCGAATTCCACGATGAACCTATGCACAAAAACAGTTGACTTAATAATACATAAAGATAGTTTTTATTTTGTTTCAGTATAACTCACAATCGCACAGGTATACTTTGTTTTTACACTTCTGTAACAATCTAAAACAGTTTCACTTGGAGGGATGTTATGACTGAAACCACAGAAAGAAGTCAAAAATAACTGTTGATTCAACTATTGTTTAAGTTACTATCATGAGGGGTTTGGTAACAAGAAAATGCTTAGAATATATCTCTTATTACAAATGAAAATTTAAAATTTTGGGAGACAAGGATCATGGAAGTTGACATGTTTGAGCTGCTTTCGCGGGCCACATAAAATGATGTGGCAGGCCATACCTGGCCCCCGGGCCTTGAGTTTGACACATGATTTAGGATGATGAATGTGAGCCAGGACCGATATCAAGATGACTTCCTTAGGTGGGGACTTAGCGGACTTATTCCACATCTTTATACCACTTCTATCATGTTCCAATTAAGGGAACCATGAATAGTATACAAAAATACAGTACAGTATAATAAGAGCAGGAAAGTGTGCCGCATCCATCATTTGGGGCAGGTCAGACTCCATTTTTAAATAAACAAAACAAAACCACAAGTCAAATAAAATACATCACCAGAGATGCTGATTATTAAATGTATTCACGTGTGCACTGTGCAAACCTCGACAGATGTGTTTTGCTGGTCGAACTTGGCTTTCTCTGACAAACCAATCTGATGACGGTTAAAATAAATGCTGACATTATTGAATGTAAAATCTAATTGGTGAAAGATTCATTCCCATTGCTAACATCATTTAAATTAAATCGGTCAGCACTACGGATTTTGGAGGCCTTGGGCAGATTAAATTGACATGGCAACACATTGAGGCTGAAATCTGATTGGCCAAAAATTGCTAACATCCAATGTAAATGTAGGTCTGTGCATCTGATAGTGTTTGGGGCAGAGAAGAACTCACTGGCCCTGACCAAGATTTCCTTCACAACCTCATTAATTCCAAGTAGTTTGTTGTCAGTGTGTGTGTGTCCAACCTGCTCCATGAAGATGAGCATGGCCTCTCGGTTCTTCTCCCACTCTCGCTGTAGCTCACTCTCATGAGGGAACTTATCACAGCCGAGGAAAATGGACAGCTCCAAGCAGTTGGTGTGCAGATAGCTAAAGTCGTTCATGCCTGGGGAGAGAGAGAGACATTATTAAAAACTTTAGATGTAGTGTGCTTGCATTAGAAGTTAAAGCTGCAGGCAGCAGACATTGAACCTACTGGTCTCGACTTACTTCCGGTGATTGGCTTCCATTTGGCTCGATTGATGATTCCGTGCGCCCCTGCGTTGACGTCTCCGTGGCAGGACCCGTGGTAGTTATGTGTCATGGTCAGATGTGTGGACGCATAGGACACGGCTAACCACCTAAAGAGGGATTCATCTGGGATCTCTCGCAGGTCTTCCTCAGGCTCAGCGTAATGGTAGCCGCCACTTCTCTCCCTGTCATCCTCCTCCTCCCTGTGGTCGTAACTCTGGTGGTAGCTGGGATCGTAGCCGTGGTCATACCCTTGGCCGTGATCATAGCCTTGGCCGTGGTCATAACCTTGGCCGTGGTCGTAACCTTGGCCGTGATCATAGCTTTGACCGTGTCCGTGGTCATAACCGTGTCCCTGGTCATAGCCATGTCCTCTCCACTCATGCTCCGAATAGCCTCGATTTCTCCAGTCTTGATCCGGTTGCTCCTGGTATCCGTGTCCCCACTCGGACACATCGAAACTCTCTTCTTCATACCTGTGTGAAAGAATTTTGAATGAGGCGGATGCACAAAAAAAAAAAAAATGACGTCCAACCATGAGGCGTGAGGTCGTACTGTCTCTTCTTGCGGCTGTGGGGCCTGTCCTCAGCGGGCTTGTTGGCATGTAAACTGTCAAATGGGTAGGCCACAAATGACTCACCACCCTGAAAGTTTGCCCCCAACACAAACGGGTGGCTTTCCATCCAAGAGATGATGGCCCTGGTTTCAACTGCAATCTGGGACCAAACAGGAGTGTTAGGGCCAAACTAGTGAATTCAACACCTTCCTCTATATACAGTACAGAGGCCAGCACTACTAATTCTGACAGCCTTAGGCAAATTACAAAAATACAAAAATATATAACATCCACATACAGCACAGTACTAGAAGCAGTGTGGCCAAAAGTATTTCACAAGAAAAAATGTTTAATTTAGGTCAGTACTTCTAATCCACCAGAGAAGGCGGACCAACAACTGATACGTTCCTTCCACCTTGAAGAAAACCATGACACTTACAGAGCTGTTATGTAGGTAGTTGTCAGGTATGGCAACGTGGTGGTTGGGGAATAGTTTGGGCACCATGCCTCTTTCTTCTGCATCCCACAGGATGCTGTTTAGATCTGGAAAGTTCTGGAAAATGTCAAATCCATCATAGGTAAAGTGGCCGGTGGTCCATCCGCTCAGCTCTGAGCCCTGCAGCAGACAGAAAGCAAGAGGACACGGACAACCAAATGACCATCATTCACCACCATTCCCAGGTATCTCCTCTTTAAAAATTTTTTTAACAAGCTTACTGCTTGAAAGGCTTCTTCATGTCCATCAGGGTTGAGTGAGGGCACCAAGTGGATGCGAATTCCGTCCACCAGCCGCTGCGCTCGAGGGTTTCGGTCTGTGTATTCCTTGCACAAGTACTGCATGAGAAGCAGGATCATTTCCCGGCCCACCGCCTCGTTACCGTGGAGACCCGCTGTGTAGCGTAACTCCGGCTCCCCTGCACAGAATGCCAAACAGGGCTGGAGTTTTCCATCAATGATAAACAAATGACACGAGCTGGTGTTAATCGATACAAACAAGAAGCGCAAGGGGCACCAATCATTAAATCGATTCCCTTTGAACTTTCAACAACAGACAGTAAAAGGCTATTTTCTGCCACCCGTACTCACCTATTTCATGTTCCGTGGGATTTCCAGAGATCACCATGGCCATGATGTCCAGTCCCTTGGAGCTGCGGCCCAGGCTGTAAATGTTGGTGATTTTGGGACACTCTTCATTCACTGACTTCATAAGCTGGACAGCAGATAGAAAGCCACACTCAGTGTCACTATGTTTTGTTTTCACTGTGTCAAGTCTTCACATGCTTGCAGCTCATTCAACCATCTATAGAATTTTCACACAGTTTGTCCTTAATTAGCTTCCACCCTGAAAACTTGCGAGTGCATGGAAGGCCATGTTGCGCTCCGGTGGTTGAAAGCTAGATATATTGATGAACCTGCATTCATGGCCATGTTTGCCACAGCGAGGCTGACAGTGGCTGGCTTGATGTCGCTTCCACTTGGTAATTAATGACACCTTTTTAAAAAAATTATGTTGCTCTCTCTCTCTCTCTCTCTCTCTCTGTGTGTCTCTCTCTCTCTCTGTGTGTATAT